TCATTTTAGAAAATTTGTATCGTGTCGTGCCTTCCATTTCTACACTACTTATGACTATATTAAATAATAAGTGAATAAATATATTAAAAATTCATTTTTTAAATTCGTATTGTGTCGTGTCTTCTGTTTTTATAGTCACCTAACTAAAAATTCATTTCTTTATTTATGTCGTGCCGTGATTTCTATTTCTATATGTACTACTTATGAATATACTAAATAATAAATAAATATATGTACTAAAAATTCATTTTTTTTTTAACTTGTATTGTGTCGTGTCTTCCATTTCTATACTACTTATGAATATATTAAATAATAAGTCGATAAATATACTAAAACTTCATTTTCTTGTTCATGTTGGGTCGTGTCTTCTATTTCTATTCTAACGAGAGAACGCACCCAACTAATTTTATTAATTATGTCGTGTCCTGTCTTCTATTTCTATTTTAAGGAGGCAATCAATTTTAACGAACTTGCATTAAAAATATTTACATCCCTTCAACTCGGCTCTGCCAAGATTAAATCCCGAGCGCGCCGCTGATCCTTGGGATCCACGAACCCGGTCAAATTTCTACAAATGACTAAATAAAAGTTTGCTTCCCAACTGGCATCTATACATATAATAGTTATTACTGTTAAGACTTCCGGGTGTACGCTGTGTCCTTACGCAGGAAACACTCGGAAAATATTCAAACCTCCCTGCATCTCCGATGAATTTCTAAAAATACTCAGATCGTAACTCCTTCTCTATTATTATCCTCGAATTCCTCGTTACTTCTCGGCAAGTGTAATCCTCGCGGTTCCATCAGGAATTCCTCCTAACAGAATTTTACTCCTAGGATCATCTAGGTGTCCTTATGAAACTCTTATTGCCCGGCAACAAGCGTCGTTTGCAATGCAAATATCGTAATGTTACATTATGAATGAAAGATTTCTCAGTGGTGGAGTGATTCTCTTGCCGCATGGGAGCCTGGTTTTCACCGGTGACGCGCATCCATAGTGGGACACCCCGTGGTGGGGTGCTATTACCTAGTTGAACGTTCGTCACTTTCGCTCGGTCAGCCGTACAATCTGCTTCGTTATGTTTTTTTTTCCACCTTTTCTGATCATTTTCGTTTCCTATTTTCATTCTTTACGCTCGTATGCATACCTCACGAATGCATCCTTGGATGCAATTTTATGCGTCGTTTTGCTTCCAGTTTCACTCTCTGCCTCCACTTAAACGCTCGAGAAAAAGCGTACGCTTGGAATAGCGAGGATGTTAGAAAGGACTAAATAGAGGATTGAAATTACAAAGAGAAATGAAGATCGAAGATATAGTTTAATTGATACACTTTAGATTTTAGTTCGTGTTCCCTTTATCAGACTGAACGGATGAAAATTCTTATTGGAATAAATCAATTGAAGTTCGAGACTATGGAACGTTCGAAGGAGTGGCTTCTCCTCTTTCTCCACTGTGATTAGAAACTTCGTATCGTTTAAAACGAGTAGGCAGTGCGGAGCGTTCTAATTGAGGATCATGCAGAGCAGGAGTATCTCTCTGACGTTTCCCTGAAGCGGCACGATTCAAGAGAACAGATCATGCTCGAGTGGATTAAGCTAGCCAGAGGAATTATGTTCGCCACTTCCAAGACACGCCCATGCTGTCCGTCCTCGGTGTACGTATTCGTCGCTGGGCAATTTCTCGAATCGCTTCCAGCGAGAAAACGCTGCTCTACAAGATGCTCCTGTTCGTTTCTGCGACGTGTCCATGATTTTCATTGGCTGTCACTTGGTGTCGAACAAATGGGAGAGGCTCGAGCGTATAACGTCTGTGCGAAATTTGTTGAACGTGCGGGAAATGTGGTTTCAATCTCCTTCTTATAGAATAAATGGGCTCTGATATACTTGGAATCGCTTCGATACTTGAAACTCTTGGAAATCTTGAGTCTTTAAATAAACTTGGTGAGTTTTCAGTATCTTACGAGGATTTTGAATGCCTCTGCGTAAGCAGTGTCACTGACATAAAATATCAAGGATGTTAAATACTCGTCGAGTTTTCAGGACCTCCAAAATTTGATTTCAAAATTCTCAAGACTTCCAAGATTTGAAGGACTATCGAGACTCACGCATAAGAGATTTTCAAGATCTACGAAAATTCGTGAAGAGACTTTCGAAACCTATCGAAATTCACATATGAGAATTGAATATTCAGCAAATTTTCAAGATCCTTCAAAACTCTCAAGACCTATCGGAACTTTCACGACTGAAGACCCATCAAGTCTCAAGATCCAAGGCTCCCAAGACT